TAAACATTACAGTATATTTCAGTATTTTGATCTGGTTGATATTTAATATTACATTAGTAAATGAAATAAATAATTAAACATTTAGTACCCTTTTCCTTATTGCTTTGTTTAATTTAGAGTTATGAGGGAGACATATGTATTCTTTTTTTACTTTCTCTTCTTTTTTGTTTTGTTTCTTAATTTTGTTCTTTATCATATTATCAATAAGATTGTCCTTTTATCCATTTTTGGCTGCAATATATTTTATTATCTTCTTTTCTTTTTCAAAATGTGTTTTGTTTAGTGGCAATGTAATTAGTCTGTAAATCATAGAATGAAATGCTGCCATTTTTTGTTGCCATGGGTGGTTTGATGATTTGGTACTATTAATTTAGTAGTGGTTGTTTTTCTAAAAAGATCAAATTAGTGTTTTTTGTCAATTTTTGAGATTGTTAAGTCCAGATAATTGATTTTTTCTTGTTGGGCATCTTTGGTAAACTTTATATTTTTAGATATAGAATTTATGTATGTTAGAAGTGTGTCACTCTCAGTTTCGGATCCTTCAAATAAGCAAATAACATAATCAACGTACCTGTACCAATATATGACTTAATATTACAGTATTACCAGTTGATTTATTTTTGCACACATAAATTTGTGTTAAATGTTTACATACCTTTGTTTATTTATAAACTAATGGATACCAATAGTGCTATAAATATTCTACCATTACCATCTAGTTCTCTATAGTAAAATGGTAATTGATAAGGAATGGTTGTCAAAAAACTAAGCATAAATTTTGCATAAATTAACTAATATTTTGTTTTAGGATAAATAAGTATATAAATGGTATAATTTAATGTCTTTATTTAAAACCTCAACAGATGACAAACAATGATCAATTTCTCAATGATTTTTATATACTATCTTGTTGACTTTTATCTCACCTCACATAGAATGCAAAAACAATTATTTTTCCTTGATTATATTTTAATTCATTTATTTATCTCCCCATCTTTAAGATGATATATCCCTGAAATACCAAAATTCTTCATCTTCCCCATGACTTGCATTGATCCAAAATTCTTCTGCAGTAGTCATCTCCAAGATTTCTTATAAAATTCCCAATAAAGGATTTGGCTAAATGCAATTTGAAACATTCCAATAGCCTTTTATTTTTTTTTCTCTAACTCACAGAAAAACAATTTAACTACTTGATGCTTAAACTGATTAACAGAATCATATTATACTGTAGTATCAAAAATATTTCAAGTATTGCGACCATTGCAACCATCGGCTGCTCTTATAACACTTGAAAACTCATAATACCATCAACTAGCTCAGAGGTAAGGCATCGGGCCCATAAGTCAAAGGTCATGGGTTCGAGACCCATCTAGTGCAAAAAATTTTGTTCTAGTTTTTTTACAAATTTTGTTTTTTATGACCTATTTAATCACTTTACTCAACTGATAAGAATGATTTTCATACTAAATATTTATTATTTTGTGTTTTTATGTTTAGGCTGAAATATTGAAACAATATAGAAACCATGTTAGATACTTAAAAAATAAACAATATTTATTTTGCCTTGTTTTAATATATTTCAATATTGACTCAAATATTTACCGATAAATGTCTTTTGTTTCAAATCAATATTTGTAAAATGTTATTGCAATATTAAATCAATAGTTTTTAATATTGGGTAAATATCGATTCAATATATTTTACAATATTGTTTGTAAATTTTCTTGCTACTTGGGTAGTGCCATACGGGCCATGAGATAACAACATGGCTCATCAATTACATCATCTATTGCAAGACTGGTCTAGGCGTGGACAGATCAGCAGATGGCCAGGATCCTGAACAGCACCACACGCACACAAGATGTTTTCTTCGTCTGTTAAGAGACCCTATTTCTGCATGTTTGTCTTGCATTTCGGTACCTCGACCCTGAACGATTTAGGGTCTTCCACACCATGTAATGTAGGTTTCCACCAGGAGCGAGTTCCTCCCTGGCTGGTATGGGAGAGTTAGTCAACGTGGCCTCCCACCTTGCCACCCGATTGCTTGTTTTCCTAACCTAGCTTTTGTTTTTAAAAATACGTTTCTGTTAGAAGATGAGTGAAATGGATAATGCAAAGTTTTGTTCGTAACACCCTGTATATTGTCGGGTCAGGTAAAATCTTGTACGTTACACGTTACGCCAGAGCGTGTTTACATCAATTAGGTGAATTATGCAACTCGCTTCCGTTCGTTGCTCCATTCACCTGCGTGAAGTAAAAACGCTCTTACTACACTTGTAAGGTAAATAAGGTAAATGCACCAGTAGCTGACAGTGCTCCAGAAGCTGACAGTTTGAGTTTCTTAACATTATAATGTGGTCTCTTAAAAATATTTACACATGATTGCATTGTTAGAAGAACATATGTTTATTCCTGATTTGATTACAAAAAAATCTGTGAAATTTAGCCCATACTTGCGGAATGGTGGTGGTTTGAAAGCGACCCTGTCCGTACACATCACATTTAGTCGATTCCCTTAATGAAATTGTTAAGAAAGTTAGTTTAGTTTTTTGTCATTTCGCTAAATTTCTTAAATAGTATTAATGATTAGGCTCATTATTTTTATCAATTATACCTTTGTTGACAATTTCATGAAAAAATTGGGGCGTTAGGGGTTTTGGATTTAAAATTATATCAATGTCAGGCTTTGGTACACAAAAGCCATACAAGTTCCACTAGCTGACAGGGGATATTTGCTACTTGCACAATATTAAATTGGTTTCACCCATCGAAATTTGCATGCTATTTTTAATTTATGTGATCTCACATTTTTATAAAATGATTTTAATTTTTTAATTTATAAGCCAAACTATCTTAAAAAATGTATATTTTTTTAAAATATATATAAAATATATACAGGGTGACAAACAAGTCTGGAAACGGTTTAATATCTTTTTAAATAAATCCGTTAGAAAATTCAAACCTTTCACATCAACTTACATGTATGAAAACTACTTTTTCCAAGCATTATCTTTTTTTACCTCTACCAGGGGACGGCCGACGAGGAGTAGGTACATAATCTTTAATGTAAGCATATGTTGATATGCACACCATTTTAAAGGTCTGGTCAAGTGGAGTTCATTGCCAGAAACTGCGTCAAAAAAGGTTCATCCGTTACAAAATGGCGGCTGTCCAAAGTTCTTGTGGAATATACCCGCACAGGCCTTAGTATTGGTAAATACTCGTATTAAACATTAGCTTGAGAGCTGAAACTGTATTTTTAAGTCAACTAGCTCATAGATTAATATTATAAAATCTTCAAAACAAATTTTACCGAGTTTCAGATTTCCCGGCTAATGTTGAATATGAGTATTTACCAATACTAAGGCCTCTGTAGGTATATTCCGCAAGAACTTTGGACAGCCGCCATTTTGTAACGGATGAACCTTTTTTGACGCGGTTTCCGGCAATGAATTCCACTGGACCAGACCTTTAAAATGATGTGCATATCAACCTATGCTTACATCAAAGATTATGTACCTACTCCTCATGGGTCGTCCCCTGGTAGAGGTCAAAAAATGGTAATGCTTGCAAAAAGTAATTATCATACATATAAGTTGATGTGAAAAGTTTGAATTTTCAAACGAATTTAGTTAAAAAGATATCAAGCCGTTTCCAGACTTTTTTGTCACCCTGTATATATATTTTAATGTAAATATTATTTATCTTAAAATATGTAAAATAAATTTTCTTAATAACGTTTTATGTGATTTTATAATTTAATTATTAAGTTAGATTTTATTCGTCTTATAAATTATAAAACCTTTAGGTTTAACAGCTAATACATTTAAGTTCCAGTGTCAGCTACTGGGACAACTGACTGTCAGCTACTGGTACAAGCACTTTTTTCACTGTCAGCCACTGGAACACGTACAAAGGTTGAATTAAGTTTAAAAATGTTATAAAATATATTTAAAAACCCCTTTTTGTATGACAAATTTGAAAACTACACTAAATTTAGAATCACATAAAATCCGTAATATCTCTTTAGTTCCTATTTATTCAAAACCACGGATTATTAAGTGCGTACAGTTTCTTATACTGTCAGCTACTGGTGCGTTTACCTTAGCTATTACCCCACACTATACGGTTTTAACAAGCTTACCACGGAGGGATTTAGTCCAGTAAACAGCTGTTGCCGCCAGCTTAATCAAATGGGGGTTCATTACGTAGGCCTACATAGGTCTCATTATGAATAGTTATTGTTAGTCCTTTAGTTGGTGGGAATACATAAATAAGGGTTTGTTCAGATTTTTTTTGTTAAGTTAGCTTAGAGTAGTATAGCGTAAAATATCGTACGTCACTTCTCCAAAATGTTTTTAACTCAATACTCGTTTATTGAACTTATTTACCGGACTCATAAGGTAATCCCGCACTCGACTTCGTTCTGTAACCACTAACCAGAACCACTGGGCTAAAATAAAATGCACAAGAAATGAAACTGGAAATCGTGACGTCGAGGCTACGTCCCGTAAGCCTTGCGGGAACTCAACCCGTCTGGCCTCATTGGCAAATACTTGGCATGGCAACACTGTACGTACGTACGTTTGTTTTTGTTTGTTGAATTAGTAACTGGTACTGGTACCATAGATTAGATATAGACATAGACCTAACCAACACAAGTCTGTTTTATCTATGGTATAGATAAAACGTTGCTTAGTCTATGCTGGTTCTGGTACAGACAGAGGACAGGACAGAGGTACACTACACTAGCGTATCAACTAACTAGTCACTTAGCCACTAGGCCACTAGCCAGTGGTATTGAGTGGTATTGGTAACTCTACTGACTCACTGACTGTAGGAGGCTAATGTGAAGAAACCTAAACCTAAGAAGTTTGTTTGATGTATAGTTTTATTTAAATTATTGTAATATATATTCTCAAGAAATAGTGTTTAAGCAGATTTTAGAAAGAAGATTACTTCCACCCTCAGACCTCTGAGCAATACTAACTTACAGTGTTGTTAATGAAGAAGTGAGTATATTATGATGCTGCCTTAGGCTATGTTTTGGAAAGTACTTTTTCACCCAATTAAGATTTTAGTACAACAATTTGGACAAGTAGGCCTAGTACCTTGTGGCCATACCGTATTTTAGTTCTAATGCATGAATTCCCCTTATATAACTAGGCTACAGTTTCCTAACAGTGCTATGCTAATATCGATTGAAACTAACAATTCAATTAGTAGGTACTGTACCTAAAACTTCTCTCAACATGCAATGGCCTATCCAGTGCTTGGGCAGAGTTCCGTACATCGGGGACAGTTTCTTAACTGGGCTATGCTTATATTGATTGAAACTATCGATTCGATTGGTAAACGGGTATTTATTCCGTATAGGCACAGAAAACGTACAACTATAACCCAGAATGCCAACCGCATGGTAAAAAGCATTGAGCGGTTTGAGAGAGCTTTGCCTGTCAATCCGTAGGCAGCGCCACCAGCGTTGCCATGCAATAGAATAGCAACGCTGGTGGCGCTGCCTACCGATTGACAGGCAAAGCTCTCTCAAAACACTTAATGCTTTTTACCATGCGGTTGGCATTCTGGGTTATAGTAGTACGTTTTCTGTGGTATAGGTGCCTCCAAACGAATTTTTAATTTGGATATCTTACTTTATAGTTTTTTACCTCCTGAATCCAAATATACCATTATTTTTCACCGCTGATGAATATTTCTCAAGATATCGCCGTAAAAACATACTTAACATTACAATAAACAAGATAGGATGGATAACATTTCAAGTGATTCTGTAGTCAAATAACATGTTCTCTATAATAGGAATTTCGTCACATTATGGAGATATAGTTATAGATATACTGCTGGACTAATTACAGTTAAACTTATTTAGGCATGTTAGGGTGGTAGGTCGTGCTATATGTGAATTGGTGACTGCATTAAGTGTTTTGAAGTTAGGTTAGATTAGGAAGGTAAAGTTTAGGTTATAATGTATCGAGTTGTTAGTTTATGTTGCCTGCAGACTGTTTTTGTAAAATTAAAATCCTGAGAAAAACACTTCAAATTACTTTTTCAAAAATGCTTTTATCATAAGATATTTATGAGCTATCAATATTATTGAAAAACCTTGATCAAATTATAAATAAAAGTGTAAAAAATTAAATGTCTAATAAAATCTAGTCTTTTTAACCATATTACAAAGAGAATATTGTTTAAATAATATATGCACAAAACCACCTGTAATGTTTATACTCGTCTTGATGCGGAATTAAATCAATAATTGGTTTTGAAACTAATAATAATCAGCTCTTATTTAGGCATGGGGAAGGTAGGTCGGGTTTTATGCAGATTCGTGACTGTATTAGGTAGGCTAATTTGAAGCTAGGTAAGATTAGGAAGGTAATGTGTAGGTTAAAAAAAACCGACTCATTAATTTATGCTACGTCCAGAATGGTTTTGCACAATTGAAATAGTAGGTGAAACACAATGAAGTAAAGGCGTAATTCCTAATGAAATCTGAAAAATCATTAGTGAAAAGGATGAACAAAAATGGGCCTATGATTGAGCCCTGGGGCACTCTTCTGTTAATCAAAAGTTGTGTGGACCTATATACAGATTTTCTTTCATTTGTGTTTTGCTGGATTTCGACAATTTATGTACGTCTTTTGAAATAGCTTGCTACCCAGTCTTTGGCCATTCCCTCTATTCCTAGGGCTGTGAGTTTCCATAGGATGAGATTATGGCCCAGACAGTCAAAAGCTTTGCTGTAGTCAAGTAAGACTGTTGATACATGTCTGCGTGCTTAGTCATAGTCATAGTCATTGTTATTTATTCATTTTTTGTACATAGTTTGTACAGTAAATAGCGTCATATATAATACAATACTAAATCTAACTAAAAACTACTATTAACAATTTACCAAGCAAAAATGAAAAGTAATAACAAAAATATTTATATCTACAGTAGGTTATATCTGGGAAGTGAAAAATTATTCTTTGGAGTAAGGGGCCAGTTGCATCAAATATTCTTTCAGCAATTTCCTGAACTTGTTTAAATTATTTTCTCTTCTTATGTTTTCTGGAATATATTTAAGAAAAGTATATCCTATGTAGGTTGGTTTCTTTGCAAAAAACTTTAATCTATGTGGCAGGATAACCTCACTTCTCTTTCTAGTATCATACAAATGAGCTGGGGACTTAAAATTTATAGTTGTACAATTCTTTGCAATGAGAGTAGTTTCAATGATATATTGCCAGTAAACAGTTAAAATATTAAGATTTTTGAAATGTTCTTTTGCTGATGCATCATACTTTAACTTAAGCATGATCCTAATTGCTCGTTTTTCCTGTTTTAATATTTTTTTAACGTTGTTGCTTCTAGATGGTAAATGATTTATTCGATTTAACTATTTAGAGCTGTGGTGGTGGACCTCCCTTTGAGAAAACCATGTTGGTTTTTAGTAATACCATTGCTTTCCAAGTGACTCAGCATTCTTGACAGAGCGACCTTTTCATTTATTTTGAAAAGGTTGATATTAATGAGATAGGGGAGTAGATTTCTTGTTTAGTGCGTGAGCCTTTTTTGTGCTTTAGGTATATTTTTGCTATTTGTAGGGCTGAGGGAAATTGTCCAAGGCTAAAATGAAATGAAATGAATGTTTATTATGCTGACAAGTGGAGCTGCCAGTTATTCGGCACAGTGTTTTACAACTTTTGATGGGACTCCATCTACTCCACATGACAGCTTTAAATTCATTGAGGCTATTGTTGCTAACACTTCATTAATGGTTGTTTGAGTTAATATTAGTGGCTGGATATTGCTTTGTGGTTTAAATAGTGGATGTGTAATTTTTTTTATTGATTTTTACTTTTCTCTAAAGTGTTGTCTGCTATTTCTACAAAAAATTGGTTTAGGTGTTCAGCAATGTGAGTAGGATTATCTACTATTTTCCCCTCTATTTCCAGCTGCAGATTTGGTTCTTCCTTCTGTTTACATTTTTTCTGTGTTGATGATCTCCTAGACAATTTTAAATTTATTATTAGCACTTGTAATGTATTCTGCAGTGGCTTGTCGCTTGAAGGACCTGAGCTTTAAATCACATTTTTTCTTCTTTTCCAACATTGTAGTGTTATCATTTACATTTCCAGTAAGCTCGTATTGATGCAAGGTATCTATAAAATCTTCTTTTAGTATTTAGACTTCTTCATCATACTGGACCTTCATTTTCTCTCCTTTCTGCTTAGCTCTTGTTTTTTTGAAAGGGCAGACATAGTCAAAAATGAGCCGTACAGTCCTTTGGAATCCAGAGTATGCCTCTTCAGCATCAGGGGCATTGTACACCTTTATCTACTTTTCTTTGGAGAGTTCGATGCAGTAAAGTATTTAAGATAGTTCAGATAAAAGGTTAACCCTCTGAGTGTCATGTGTCGCTGCAGCGACTCACGAACACTGTTTACGGCGAAGGCTCTATGACTGACAAAATCGGATTGAACTGGATCGAGTTAGATATCGTTCTTTTCGTTATATTCTAAGCTTTCTCCAGAGGTCTGTCTCTAAGTGCTGTATGTTCTCCGAGCCGATCGTAATTGTAGCAGACAGCTGACGTGCGTATTTGTAAACAGGTTAGTTAACCTCGGACTGATGACTGATGTGTTTTATTATGTTTATCATTGTTTTAGTGTTAAAAATCAAAAGTAGTGATATACGTGGTGCATTATAAGAAGATTTAAGTGATTTTGAAGTGCTGGTTGATGATCCTGAAGAAGTAGGTAGTGATATTGATGTAAATTATCAGCCAGATTCCTACCTATGGTTAGGCTATGCATTCTTAGCTAAACGCTATGTACTGAAATCTGTTTTTTGCCCATAACTTATTAATTTGCAAATCTACTTCCTTATATTATTATATATTTGTAATCCTCATAAAATTTAGAACAAAGTGGCTATTTTCAAATATTTATAGGCCTATAATTTATACAATTTCATTGAGCGCGAACATATTTTTTTTTTCAATTTTTCCAAATTAATTTTTATTTTTACCTAAAAAAATGTTTTTGAAATAAATATTCCTTAGGTTTTATGTATGATATTGAAGCCCATGATTTTCCAAACAAAATGGTATATAGAACAGTAGAATTAACATTGTTTTAAGCTTTTCAGATCCGTTTTAATAAAACCTTGCAAATGCGCCAAAAATAGGCTGACATTAAGGCCTAAACTATGGACACTCGGAGGGTTAAGGTAGTGTACGATACCCAAGCTAAATACGAACTACTGATATGTAAACAACCTACTTTGTAAAAAATCCAAGTTAAAATTTCATAACTTTAGGTTTAGGTTTAATAAATTAAGCATTTTGGTATGTCATTAAAGTTGACTTTAAGTACAGTCAGGCTTGTCATCGTTTTCGAGACATAATTCCTCAATATCTTGAGTAATACAGGGTATTTTTGCCTTTACAAAATAACTCCATCAGACATACATTAAGTAGGTAGAAAGGTCGCTATAACTACATAACACCACTGGGAAATAGCAAATATGAATATTAGGGGTTGATGAGTGATAGGTACGTTCCAAACCACAAAAAGATAAGTCCCCTCTCTGTAAACAAAATTCCCCACCAAGACATCCACTACATGGAGACGGTTCATTAGGCTTTATCATATCCACTACATTCTAATACCATTATTTTACTAGTTCTATAATTTTAAACCAAATTATGTAATATCCATTAGAGATACTTTATTTAGCATTTTAATATTTTGAATGACATGTACAACCCTAATTTTGGATCATTCGATATTTATAAGCTATCAATATTATTGTTAAAACTTCATAAAATGATAAATAAAAGTGTTAAAAAATTATATGTCTAATAAAGTCTGGTCTTTTTCAGAACTGGCATTAGCTTTCCCAGACATAGAGAAAAATAAACTCAAGTTCCTCACAGAAAAGCTTCATATAATGTCTGACATAAGGCTGTACTACAAACAGCAGATAAAAATGGTATTCTATTAAA